CCCCCCCCCCCGAGGGGAATCGAACCTCCACATTTTAAAATTACAAGTCCGTAGGTTCACCGCTGACATCTTACAGTAAACTTTTATAATTGTAATAGTCTTACTCCAAAATGTTTTATGTCATAAGTTGCGAAGAATTCATAATTCTGAATAATTATGGGATGACAGTGATAAAAAAAAAAAATCCATGAAAATTATTGAATTATTTTTTAAATGGCCAATTATTTAATTATTCTCTCTTGATTATAGAGTTACTTGTTGAATTAACAAAATTAATTTTACATCTAATTTATTTCATTCTTGTTGTTTTCAGTTAAATCGATTGCAAATCAAGAAATCGCATGATTTGAAATACACACTTTCATGTTTAAAACATGAAAGGATTTCATTAATTTTTTCTCGTCTTTTTTTTTGCGTAGACTTTTATTCCTGTAGATGCTGTCAATATAAAGGACACAAAACATATTTAGTGTCCCTCCTGTCCAGTCTTCCATGACTGCATGATTTTCGCCTTATTTTTGTTTACTAAACACTAATATAGTTTATTTTTTTAATTTAAAGTCTAGTCGCAACTATCACGTCAAATACTTCTTCTGCTTGTTTGTCTGTCTTAGCGCAACGATGAGAAATAGGCCGTCTGCGATCTGTTTACCAGAGGGAATCGAATCTAGATATTTAGCGTTGTAAGTTTATAAACTTAGCGTTGATCCACCGAGAGACATTTCGTATGCATCTCTATTAACTGTTGGGTGTGTGTGTGTCACCATAGAAATAATTCTAACCCTAAACAACACAATCACGCATTAAAAATAATAACACTTCTCTTTATGGAAAGAGATATAATGTACAGTTGCTACAGTTCCTGTAATAACGAAAACAGATTCTACAAACTTTAAAAATGTATTCCACACAACAATATTCTTCGCTGATTTCTATTGGAGATCATTGTTTCATAATGTTGCGTCAGTGAGGTCACGTGACTAGTATCACGCCACGTCCTTCTCTCGAACCTTCGTGAATTATCGGGAGATTACTAGATTGGGGGTAGTCTGGTATATATAAGATGGTCACAACGTGACGGGACAATGTATTCCACACAACAATATTCTTCGCTGATTTCTATTCGGCTACTCTTTACCAACAAATAGTGGAATTGACCATCACGTTATATCGCCCCAACAACTGAAGGGTGAGCATATTCGGTGACTGGATTCGATCCCGCGACCTACCTATTTAGAGCCGAGCGATTCAACCATTCCACAAAAGCAGAAATTAACTAAGGCTCATTCCTCCCACTGACAAAAACCTTATAGCTTTAGACCCACCATCTAGTGGTTTTATTGTTTGGACGAAAATATGTTGTAGATAGAACGTTGTTACATCCAGATGCGTCCATAGGTAGATGTTTAATGTTGGACGAAAATATGTTGTAGAAAAAACGTTGTTACATCCAGATGCGTCCGTAAGTAGATGTTTAATGTTTAAATGCTATATATATATAATAGAATTTGTGTACGTAAGCTATTTTTAAATTACCGAAATGTCATCAAAATAGACAGTTTTATGGTAGATAACCAAAAATCTTTGGAAATATCAGAGTTTCTTCACTTCAAGTGATTATCTGTAATAATTCACCATTTCTTGAACTAAACACTTGATTAAAGGTTTAATAATTATCTCGTTGAAATGATTAGGAATAGTCTCATTTCAATACGATTACTATAAATGTTGAAGTCCTCGGGTGCATGTGTTTTTTTTCTAAGTTTGGTTTGTTTGTTTTTTAATTTCGCGCAAAGCTACACAAGAGCTATCTGCGCTGGCCGTCTCTAATTTAGCAGTGTAAGACTAGAGGAAAGGCAGCTAGTCATCACCACCCACCGCCAACTCTTGGGCTACTCTTTTACCAGCTAATAGTGGGATTGACCATCACATTATAACGCCCCCACGGCTGAAAGGTCGAGCAGGTTTGGTGTGACGAGGATTCGAGCCCTCGACTCTCAGATTGTGAGTCGAGTGCCCTAACCATCTGGCCAAGCCAGGGCTTTTTTTTAAGTGCGTTACTTTTCTATATTTGACGATTTACAACAGGTTAAGCGTTTGAGATTAGGGTTAGGTATGTGAGAAAAATTTACAACATAAACATTTACAATATGAGTTTGAACTTCAGATTTTATTTGACTACTGCCACATGGGTCATCATAATACAAAAATTAATATTCAAAGATTAATGTTCAGTCAAATAGCATTACAGCGTTGTTAATAAACATCAATTTTTAAACAATTTTTTAGCTTGAAGTACGTTGATAATTACGATTTGTTTGTTTGTTTGTTTTGGATTTCGCGCAAAGCTACACGAGGGCTATCTCCGTTAGCTGTCCCTAATTTAGCAGTGTAAGACTAGAGGGAAGGCAGCTAGTCATCACCACCCACTGTTTGGCTACTCTTTTACCAACGGATAGTGGGATTGACTGTCACATTATAACGCCCCCAAGCCTGAAAGGGCGAACACGTTTGGTGTGACGGGGATTCGAACCCGCGACCCACAGATTGCGAGTCGAACGCCTTAACCACCTGGCCATGCCGGACCGATCTGTGCTCTGCCCACCACGAGTATCGAAACCCAGATTCTAGAGTTGTAAGTCCGCAGACATACCGCTGTGCTACTGGGGGGCGATAAATACAAACTTTGTAGAATGTAGCAGCTAAGAAAGGGGAACAATAGGTGACTTGAATATAAAAAATAGATTACCAGAAATTAAGAGTAAAAAACACAACAACGTCGGTTTTTTACACTTAATATAGTAGCACAATGAGCCCGAAACGAAATTAGCTTGCCAGACATTGTTAGGTATTATTAGATTCTATAAATTAAGTATAAAAGAATCCCAAAATTAGTAGGTATACGAACTTTCTTTGAAGATGTAGGGAGAAAATTATATGAAATATTTTGGTACAAAGCTCTGTAATTTAGACTTTAATACCGACCACAACCGTATTTCACTTCCAGCTCAAGAGGCGGATAAATGAACGTAAATATGAACTGTGATTTAAAGCCTTTTCCTTCCTGTTTGCCACCTTCGACAAAGAGAAATCACAAAACAGAAAAGAGCACATATACATATTACTACTGCAGCGCCTATGACCCACCAGTAATAAGGAAACGTGAATTTTTCAGCATAGCACAGACTGTTAGCTTCATCAGAGGCCACGCCCCCAGTGTCATAAAAATCAAGAATTGGACAGTTGGGGACACCGTTACATACGAGTTCTTTCTTTAGACACGCCATAGTTGGAGCACAGAGAAATTCACATTCTTTACCCAAGGACACTAAGGAATCAGAGCTCGAGGATGTGGGAAGCATTTTCAACTGGGTGTAGACGAGGTTGAAGCTACTATTGGAAGCGTCTGTGGTACGGAATTCCACGATTGCTTTTCCTGCTTTAACATTCCCGTTCTCAATAACAAGACTACGATCCATGCTTCCAGAACTATCTTCACAGAAATAAACACTGGCTACTGAAAGATAATTGGTGCTGCAGTTACCGGGAAGGTACAGGTTTTGGACAATGAAAGATATGTCCATTCCATGAAACACTGGTACTGACCATCGACAGTAAAGAAGACCCGGTTTCTTGGACCCAGACATGTATGCAGGAAAGTCAATCTCGCCCTGAAGTTCCAGTTCCAATACCTCTGGTCCACATCGTGATTCTCCAGCAAATCCATACTCAATCTGTAAGTATGGCTCGTTGTCGATCAAACTGGAAAACTGTTGTTTTGAAGGTCTGGTGAAATGTGCTACAAGAAAAAGACGAGGTCCTAGAGACATTAGCCTGAATGTTGAAGGCTTCTCAACTTCACAGAAACAGAAACTGTCTTCTTCCGGTAATAAGGAGTGCATCGAAATCCAACTATAATCATTGCCTCGGCAGCTGTCACAGCCAGATCTGAAAAAGCCAAGTATGTTAATGATCACTCTCCCTTGTGAAATGCTGTTGGCTATAAACGTATAATTACACACAATCGAATCCCCTTCTTCAATAGACAATAAATCATTTTTGCTAACTGAAATAACATCAGATTTTTTGGAATCATCTGAAAACACCTGATTACAAGAAGGATTTGAAAGAATTCCATTTTGTGAGGCCTTTGTTTGCCTTTTCACCCGAAATTTATAACTCAGTGAAGAACCCTCCAAAGAGCCCGTTTTTCCAATGAATTCAAGGAACATCACAGGACCACTGCTTTCGTAAACCCTCTGCGATTCTTCAGTTTGTGGTCGATTCATGTCACAGAGCTTAACAATAATGTACCTGGGGTCATGTTCATGATGGTCATAGATTTTGAGTGAGTCTTCACATAACGTAACCCTCTCGACCCGATACCATAAAAATTCCAAAGCTATAATATCGTCCTCGTCCACTATGAACTTGTATATGCACGTGGTGTTTTCGGGGTACCATGACCTAAGACTAGAGAAAAGGTGGCCATCACTTTCCTCCAGGTATTTTTCTACAAGACAGCTGCCATTTTTTAGCTCCAGTGGTTCCGAATTATCATTGTCGTATATCTCATAAGCCTTAAAATGAAATCCTGTGTTCAGTAATGGACCCACTGGAGAAGAAACGAAGCGTACAAGCAATACTGAACTAGACCCAATTATGTTGGACCTTAGGCGACCTCTTCCACACAAGGTGACAATCACGGGATATGAAACACTTGGACCATCATGAATACGGACGTAGTCAAAAGGACACTCTTCTACAGTTGTTGTAACGGGTCTTGGGAAGCAATACAAGAGGCTGTCACAGCCTTGCCCATCTACGTCAAATTTCTGGAGTTCCAAGCCAATAACGCCTTTTGGAACGCTAAGATGGTATTCACACTGGAGATTTGGAGGATACACTCCAGGATAACCAGGAGACTGGACGTAGCATCTGTCAGAAGAAGAACAGTCTTTAAAGACACGTTCGCAGTAT